TTCAGGCTCTGCCCCGGATGTCTGTATGCTTCCGGGGGCACCAGCAGCCCACATGTTTTTCCCTCTGACCGAGACATGTGGGCTCCAGCTTGCGGGGTTGTGTTTGTGGGCAGGGGACCAGGGGGGTCGGTGTCCAGCTGAGTAGTGGCCTCATCACTGAGCGGTGAGTCCCTTCCACCACGTCTGCTCACAGCGCCTGTGGTGTGGTGCTGGCTCAGCAGGGGCTTGGCGAGGGGTGTGTGGCTGAGCTGCATGTCACAAGCTGGGGGCTCTGGAGGCCCCATGGGCTTGGCTTCTGCCTCTGCTGCCCGTCATGGAGGTGGTTGGTGCTGCCTCTGCATCTTCTGCTGCTCTCGTGTGGGGGCACAGACCCTCATGCCCAGGGCACCTTTCCTGGTGGCCAAGCTGCAGCATCTGCCCATGGACACTTGGACAACCCCTGGGTTGCTCGCTGGTGGTCAGGAGACAGTGGCTGGTGCTGTGCCAGAAATGAAAGTCATGGTGTCCACTCAGGGAGGCAGTGGGCGGGCACCACTGCGTTCAGGCTGCCCGGGCTCTGGGCTGGTGGGACAGAGGCAGCCGCCCTGGGGCAGGTGCAGAGTGAGGAGCTGCACAGTGGCAGGAAGCGGGTACCTGTGGGGCACACAGGGGCAGCTGGAGCATCATGGCCACCAGACGGTGGGAGCCCAAGGCAGGGAGGCCCTACAAGGGGCTAGGAGTCATCAGGCGAGGTTGGCAGGTCCGGAAGGCCATGAGCATCTTTGTCTGCCAGGGACTGAAGGGGGCTAGACCTGACCCCTTAGAAGGCTGGGGCTCCATTTCCAGTTTCCGTTTCATTATTACTGTTGTCTCAATGATGTTTTAAACCAGAACACCTGGAAATTGTGCAAGTTACATTGATTATACAAAGCTTCACACACATTGGCAGAGTTTCCTGTGGCTGTTGTAATAATTCAGCACAAACTTGATGGTTTAAAAAACAGAAATGTATTCTGTTATTCCAGAGGCCAGGTGCCTGGGAGTGGTGTTGCTGAGCAGACAGCGAGGAGTCCGCAGAGCTGTGCTCCCTGCCGGAGGCTCAGGGAGGGTCTTTGTTCCTTTCCTGCTTTTGTTCTGGGGGGTGGATGGTGGCCTCTGCCTGCCTCGTTTCAGTCTCTGCCCCTGTGCTCACATGGACACTGCCTCTCCCAGGTGAAGTTTCTCTGCCTCCCTCTTATAAGAATGCGTGTGATGGCTTTCAGGGTCTCCCTGGCTAAGCCAGGGTCATCTCGCATCTCAGGGCTCTGAACTGTGCTCAGAGATGGAAGACAGAGAGAGTGGATCTCGCAGAAGGAAAGCAGGGCAGGAGGTGCTGGAGGCTGGAAGGACGGGGCAGGGAGGACAGGAGGGGCCTGTTGAAGGGCACAGAACCACAGCTGGTCAGGAGGGGCAAGGTCTAGTGTTCTACAGCAGGCGGCCCCAGCCCTGGTACTGGCGACCAGTATGGCCTGTGGCCTGTTAGGAATTGTATGGCCGCAGTGCAGGAGGGGTGGCAGGTGAGCGAGCGTGACCGTCTCAGCTCCGCCTCCTGCCAGGTTAGCAGCAGCACAGGATTCTCAGAGGAGCGCGAACCCTGCTGTGAACTGCGCATGGGAGGGATCTAGGTTTCGCACTCCTTGTGAGAATCTAATGCCTAATGGTCTGTCCCTGTCTCCATCACCCCCTGGTGGGACCGTCTAGTTTCAGAAAAAGCAGCTCAGGACTGCTGCTGATCTGACATGATGGTGAGTTGTATAACTACTTTATTACCTATTACAATATGATAATAGAAGCAAAGTGCATAATAAATGTGACGTGCTGGATTCATCCCAAACCATCGCCTCTTGGCTGGTGGAAAAACTGTCTTCCACAAAACTGGCCCCTGGTGCCATAGAGGTTGGTGACCACTGTAGGGTGACTGTCACTCAGCAAGATGCGTAGTCTCACGTCACTGGAAGGAGGGTATCAAATCTTCCCCACAGAGAGACACAGTCCATGTTGGAGATGATGGGAGCTCCGGACACCCAGGCGACCGCTGGCGCTGTCTGTATGGAAGCATCACTTGGAACTCCGTGGAGATGTACAATTATGATTTGTCAATTTAAAAACCTTTTAAGGATCTTAATCTGCAATCTAATTAATCTGCAAAGTGCCTTTTCTTCCTATAAGGCCAGATTGACCGGTTCCAGGGATTCGGGTGGGGACATCTTCTGGGGAGCGCCATTTGGCCACCACGCCTCCTTTCCCCGTGTTCTGCCCGGGCCATTTGGTTTCTGCCTCTGTCCACCCCTCACCTCTGACTCGGCTTGCACGACCTTGGAAGATCACCCTGTGGGCTGCAGTCTCCTTTTTTCAAGATGGGGTCACGGTCCACCCGTCCCACAAGGCCATGTGAGGATTATGTGGTTCAAAGCAGGTCACGAAGGCTTTCCAAAGGTCGGCCACTGTTTTTATTGGCCTCGAGTCCATATGGAGCTTAACAGTGATGCTGGAATTTCCTCTCAAGCCTGGAAAGCCTGGGGCGCCTTTAGATGGAGGGCTCGCTGCTGCAGTGGGTTTGAGCAGACACTGAGGGCTGAGGCTTCAGGGATCCCCTAGTTCCTTAACCGTAAAGGTCACACTGCCCGGCACCAAGGCAGGTTCAAACCACCGACCTCACAGATACCGTGACGTTCCAACAAAAGAGAAGTCCTCGTGCGGCAGCCTGGGCTTCCAGGTCCTGCTCACCGTGTGCTGCTTGGTTGGCAAGGGGTGCTCGGGGAGGACTCTGCTTCCTCGGCCCTTCTCACTTGGACTGGCCTCCTCCCTCCAGCCCTTCAATGCTAAGGGACTGTGGCGGGGTGGGGGCGGCAGAGGAGGGGCCCTGGCGAGGACAGCAGAACCGCTGTCCCTGCCAGGCACACGTGATATCAGCGCGGCACCAGCCTTTCTGCCGGCCGGCCCTTGGCTTCCCCTCGCATCCCGCTGTCTAGCAGTCACGGTGGTGGAAACCTGGACTGGAAGGCGCAGTGTCTCCTGAAGTTACCAGGTTCCTCCTGTCTTTCTCCAAAATCGGCATCTTCTACTAGACAAGAACATGCTTTCTTCCAAAACGAAATTCTGTAGAAGAATCTCTGTTGTCATGGGAGCTCCGGACACACGGGGCGTCTCCTGGGAGGCTCTGACCTGTGGACAGGGCTGTTGGCCCTGCTGGCCCAGAGTGGTTTAGCAGATCAGGGGCCAAAGTCACCCTGAATTAAAGAAATGGTGGTGGGGAGCGGCAGGGTAGATCCCACAGAGGCCTGGCAGCTCAGTGAAGGTGGCAGGGCCTTGGGCAATGCAGGGGATGAGGTGGAGTCCAGCTGTGCCTGCCGGGCTGGGGAGAGGGCAGTCAGGAGGAAGATGGGAGCTCAGCTTCAGATGTGCCAGGTGCGGCTTCCCTTCCATCTGGGGCACCTCTGGAGGCTGCTGCAAGCGTGGCCGGGAGCCCAGGGCAGGCACTGGGGTGGAGGCCTGGAGGCTGGGGCAGGGAGAGACCACACATAGAGAAAAGGCAGAGGAATGGGAGCAGGAGCTAAGACAGATGTGCCCCAGGAGCCCAGGGAGACAGGCACAGCAGGGCTGGCCAGCAGAGGGAGGACAGAGGGACCGCATCCTCAGCACCACAGTTCTCGGCCAAGTGCAGGAGGAGGGAGGGGAAGAACACTGTGCTGGAGGAGCTGGGGGTGAGATGGGTCACGACGAGCCGCTTCCTCTGGGAGATGCGAGGCGGTGCTGAGTCAGAGGCTGGACCCGAGGGAGGAGATTTCAGTTACACCCGTTCCCCCACCCACCTTGTGTTTTTTGAGACAGGGTCTTACTCTCACCCAGGCTAGGGTGCAGTGGCTCAATCACAGCTCATTGCAGCCTTGATCTCCCAGGCTCAAGTGATCCTCCCACCTCAGCTGCAGACAGGCTTGCAGCAGATGGGCGCACTGAGTAGGTGGGACTACAGGTTCATGCCATCATGCCCAGCTACATAGTTTTTATTTTAATTAATTAGTAATTAATTTTTTGAGACAGGGTCTCACTCTGTCACCCAGGCTGGAGTGCAGTGGTACAATCTCGGTTCACTGCAACCTCTGCCTCCCGACTAAAGTGATTCTCTGACCTCAGCCTCCTGAGTAGCAGGGACCACAGGCACATGCCATGATGCCCTGCCAATTTTTGTATTTTTAGAGACAGGGTCTCACTATGTTGGCCAGACTGGTCTCCAACTCCTGGGCTCAAGTGATCTTCCCACCTTGGCCTCCGAAAGTGCTGGGACTATAGGCGTGAGCCACATGCCTGGTCTTTTTATTTGTAATGGAGACAAAGTCTTACTCTGTTGCCCAGGCTGGAGTTTTATCTATTTTCTGTTAGAAAAGACTTCAAGATATTCACAGTCTGGGCAGCAGGCTTCAGACACGGGAGGTGTAGGAGCAGTAGAAGGAAGCTGGGCGGCTTCTGGAGCTGGGGAGGCAGGAGACTTGGGCAGCTGAGCCTGGGAGCTTGCCCCCCTCTCCCCCGCCCCCCGCCTCTGAATCTCCCTGACGACTGCAGGGCTCGGCTGCAGGTGGAACGAACTGTCCTCTCTGTCTGGGGCCTGGACTCCGTATCCAGCCAGCGCCCACTTGACAGGGAGGGCAGCCCCTCAGGGAAAGGTGGGGGGGTGGGGGGGCTGTGCCTGTGAATGCCCCTGCTGCCAGCCCTGACACTCACCCACCAGGGCTCTGGGAGACGGCCTTGCCTGCTGGGCTGGGGTGGGGACTGCCATGCCGTTGACCCTCCCTGGGACCGGCACATTCCTGCGGGGATGGTACCAGCGCCAGCCTAGTGTGTGTCGGGCCTGGAGCAGGGCTGGGCGCGAGGGCCCCAGGAGGCTGGGCCCGAGTCCTGGCCTCCGGTCCTGCTGGCCAGCAGTTCAACCAGGAAAGACCCAAAGGAGAGAGCAAAGTGCAGCCAGGCTACGTGGAGGGTGTTTATTAGGGTCTCCAAGCAGGGTCCTCACATGGCCACAGAGGCGCAGCAGCTTCCAGGGAGGTGAGACCACAGGGCCTGGAATGTGGGACCCAGTCCAGGAGGAGCAGGGGGCAGTGGGTGGAGGCCGGGCCCCCTGCAGCTTAGCAGGAGCCCCCAGGGCTTAGGGGAGGAGAGGCTGTGCACACATCTTCAAGGGAGAGACGGATACCAGGGCAGCCGAGGGGCCAGTAGTGGGAGAGGTGAGGGACTCAGTGCCCAGTGAGCCTGGGGACGTGGCTGGCAGCAGCTGGACTTCTGGGCTGGGGAAAGGCCTCAGCAGGCTGGGCGGGAGCACACGGGGTGACAGAGGAGGGACACGCAGGAGGCTGGGCGGCAGCAGCTGGGCTGGCAGGAGGAGGAGGGGACACAGCAGGAGGGGACAGGCATGCAGCAGGCAGGCCTGCACACGGGGCGGCAGAGGAGGGACACGGAGGAGGAGGGTCTGCAGCAGGAGGTGGTGCAGCAAGCCGGCTGGCAGCTAGACTGCTGGCAGCACAAAGAGGAAGCCCCAGAGGAGATGGGCACACAGCAGACGGGCACACAGCAGGACTGCTGGCAGGGGGAGGAAGTGCAGCAAGTCGGCTGGCAGCTAGACTGCTGGCAGCATGAAGAGGAGCCCTCAGAGCAGGTGGGTACACAGCAGACAGGCTTGCAGCAGACGGTCACACAGCAGGCCTGCTGGCAGGGGGAGGAGGTGCAGCAAGCCGGCTGGCAGCTAGACGGCTGACAACATGAAGAGGAGCCCTCAGAGCAGGTGGGCACACAGCAGATAGGCTTGCAGCAGACAGGCTTACAGCAGACGGGCACACAGCGGGTCTGCTGGCAGGGGGAGGTGCAGCAAGCCAGCTGGCAGCTAGACTGCTGGCAGCACGAGGGCGTGCAGGAGCTGGTGCAGCCTGATTGGCAGGGGCTGGGCTCACAGGCCGCCTGGCAGCAGGGGCTGGACACACAGCTCACTGGGGTGCAGACCAGGGTCAGGCAGGGGGCCGGGGCGCAGCAGCTGGGGGCGCAGCAGGGGGGCTCGCAGCAGCTCTCTGGGCAGTCGTCCATCTGCCAGGAGTCGGAGCAAGAGTCACAGGAGCCGGGCAGGCAGATGTGGCTGCCGTAGCTCAGGTTGATGGAGCAGACGGACATGGTGGACGCGGCCATGCTGGGGCTGAGCTGGGGCAGATGGGAGGGAGGGAGCAGTTGGTGTCTGGGTGCTGGATGGAAGGAGGGAGTGAGTGAGTGAGGAGTCTGGGTGCTGGGAGCTTATATAGCTCTCAAGGGTGTGTGCTGTCCCAGCACAAGGCCCCAGGCGTTTTCCTTGTTGGTGTTTGGGGCGGTTTCCTGAGGATGCTCACCACGAACTGTGACACGCAGCTCAGCTCCTGCAGCTCCCCGGGTGTCAGAACTGAATGGGGCTGTGGGACTGTGCAGGGAGCCGGCCGGAGGGCTGGAGCCGGCCTCTGCGTGGACCACAAGGGTCAGCAGCCCCGGCCACTCCTCTGCCATTGTCTTTTGGGGCTGCTTACTAATATTTCCCCTAATTTCTTGACACTCAGTTGAGTCAAGGATGTTTTTCTTCTTGCTTTGTGTTCTCTTTATTTTCAGTCCATAGACCAACGAATGGCTTGGGATCTCAAACAGTCATGTGAGAGGTCTTGCTGTGTGTCAGGAAGTACCTGAGCAAGTTTGTGAATATGACCTGACTAACCCATACGCCAACCTTGTAAAGTAGGGGCCATTATTCCCAGTCTGCAGATGCAGAAACTGCAGCAAAATGAAGAATTTGTGCCAAAGCCTGCTCCAGCCGGCAGAGGAGCCTGCACTGGAGGCCTGGCGGGCCTGTGTCCTGCGTTCTTGGCCACCAGCCTCTGCTGCCTCGGAGAGCAAGGGGCATAGGAAGTCAGAATGAGAAAGCCGGATTCTGAGAGGGGCAGGCAGAGCACAGTGTGGAGCTGATGTGAAAATATCTGGTGGGAGCCAGAGGGGTGGCCCTGGCCATGAGAAAGGAGCTCCGTCCATCTACAGAGAGGATTTGGGTTTATTTATGGGTGGGAATGTGAAGAAACACTATTGTGCAGGGAAGCTCTGGTTCAGAGTTCAGAGGGGCTTGTTCTAGGAGGTTGACAGATTTCTTCTCGGGAAGTGAGTTGTTTTTAATTTTGAGAAGAGGACACTCTGCAGCGTTTGTGGTTGAGGACTCCAGAGCCCCAGGGCTAATTCAGTCTGGAGGATCCTGAGATTAAGGGAGAGCTGCTTGGTTCTGCCTGGAAAGCTGGAGGGCTTCAGGCCCATAGGCAGCGGTGAGCAGGTGAGGGCCCGGGGTGGCTGGTGGACGGGTCCCTTGAAATGAAAAGCCCTGGTGTGTGCTGTGTGCCATGTCCGTGGTGTGTCCAGGTTGGGTCATGGCCAGGGACAGGCCCCGAGGGAGGGAGGACCAGCCGGTGCCTCTGGCCTGGGTCCTGCATTTATGTCCTGCTTTGTGTCATGACCTGCCCCCACCTTTCAGTAGAAGGTCTGAGAAGAGGTGCTTTCGGGACTGACACCCAGGGACCTGTTTTGCTCAAAGGCAGAGTCTGTGGTGGCACTTGCAGACCCAAGAGGCAGCATGGCATCCAGTCCAGCGAAAGCAAAGATGCCGGGACAGAACTAGGAGAATGTGAATGCCCCAAAGCCACAGGAGTTGGGGTGGGGTCGGGGGAGCCTAGATGGGCCCCCACAGTTTGGAGGGCACTGTCTCTTGCTATTTTATTTGGATCATAAAGAGTGACCTCAGAAGGCCAGAGGGTCTGGAGACATCTGGGTTAAACACCTCTGAGGTCAAGTGTCTGCATCAAGTAGCCCCTCCCCTAGCCGGCAGCAGAGGCCTGCAGGGTTGGGGCAAAGTGCAGCCTACCTTGGGGCAAGGCCAGGTGTGACCCTCCAGGCTCTGTGTACTATCCTTATGCTAGTACCACATTGTTTTGATTACTGTAGCTTTGTAGTAGGTTTTAAAATTGGGAAGTCTGAATTATTCATCTATTCATCTGTTGGTAGCTACTTGAATAATGTATAATGAATAATGCTGCAAAGAATGTTGACATACAAAGATCTGTTTGAGCCTTTCTCTTTTTATTTATTTACTTATTTTTGATTCTTTTGGGTACTCCTTATTTCCTAGGAGTGGAATTGCTGAGTCATGTGGTAATTCTATGTTTAACTTTTGAGGAACCACCAAAATGTTTCCACAGTAGTTGCACTATTCTATATTCCCACTGTTAATGTATGAGAGTTCCAATTTCTCCATATCATTGCCAACACTTGTTATTTTCCTTTTTCCTTTTTTTTTTTTTTGTAAATTACAGCCATCCTGGTAGATGTGAAGTGGCATCTCATTGTTGTTTTGATTTCCATTTTCTGAACAACTAATATTGTGGAGCATCTTTTCAAGTACTCATTGGCCATTTGCCTACCTTTATTGGAGTGATGTCTACTCAGTCCTTTGCCTAATTTTTAGTTGGGTGCTTTGTCTTTTTGTTGTTGAGTTGCAGTCCGATATATGATTTGTAAATATTTTCTCTCATTCTGTAGATTGTCTTTTCACTTTCTTGATGGTGTTCTCTGATTCAAAAAAGTTTTAAATTTTGACAAGGTCCAATTTATTTTTTCTTTTGTTGCTGGTCCTTCTTGTGTATTAGCTAAGAACCCAGTGTCAAATCCAAAGTCTTAAAGCATTTCTCCATTCTTTTCTTCTAAGATTTTTACAGTTTCAGCTACTATATTTAGGGCATTGATCCATTTTGGGTTAATTTTTGTATATGATATTAGGTAAGATCCAACTTCATTCTTTTGCATCTGGAAATCTAGTTCTTCTAACACCATTTGTTGAAGAGATTATTCTTTTCTTATTGAATTATCTTGATACTCTTGTTCAAAATCAATTGACTATAAATGTATGGGTTAATTTCTGAACTTTTACTTTTATTCTATTGATCCATATATCTGTTCTTAGGTGAGTAACACACTGTTTTGATTACTGTAGCTTTGTAGTATGTTTTGAAATTAGGAAGTGTGAATCCTCCAACCTTGTCCTTCTTTTTCAAGATTGTTTTGGCTATTCTGAGCCCTATAATCTGTATGTGCTTGAAGATCAGCTTTTTCATTTCTGGAAAAAAGAAAAGACATGGATTTTTGATAAGAACTCCATTGAATCTGTAGACCGCTTTGGGTGATACTGCCATTTAACAACATTAAGTCTTCTAATCCATGAACATGGATGTCTTTCCGTTTATTTAGGTCTTCTTTAATTCTTTAAGCAATGTTTTATAGTTATCATTGTACAAGTCTCTTATCCCCTTGATTATATTTGTTACTAGGTATTTTATTCTTTTGGATGCCATTGAAATGGAAATATTTTTCTTAATTTCTTCAGATTGTTCATTGCTGGTGTACAGAAACATGCATGATTTTTGTACATTGATCTTGCACCCTGAAACTTTGGTGAATTCTTTAATAAAACTCTGGTAGCTTTCTGGTGGATTCTTTGGGATTTTCTATAGACAGGATTATGTCACCTGTGAATAGAAATAATTTTACTTCTTCCTTTCCAATTTTAATGGCTTTTATTTTTTTATTTTTTTTTATCTAATAGCTGTGGTTAGAACTTCCAGTCTAGTGTTGAATATTGGTGATGAAAATCCTGTCTTGTTTCTAATCTTAGGGGGAAAGTTTTCAGTCTTTTACTGTTGTGTATGATGCAAGTTGTGGGTTTTTCACAAATGCTCTTTATCATGTTGAGGAAATTCCCTTCAATTCCTAGTTTTCTGAGTATTTTTAAATCATAAAATGGTGCTGGACTTTGACAAAGCCTTTTCTTTGTTAATTGAGATCATGCGTGTGTGTTTTTTTTTCCCCACTTCATTCTGTTCTTGTGTTATACGACATTGATTGTTTTAAATCTTGAACTATCTTTGCATTCCTGGGATAAATCTCACTTGGTCATGGTATATAATCCTTTTAATATACTGTTGGAATCACTTTGTTAGTATGCTGTAGAGAATTTTTTGTATCTGTATTTATAAGGCAGTTGGTCTGTAATTTTCTTTTCTTTCGATGTCTTTTTTTTTTTTTTTTTTTTTTTTTTTTTTTTTTTTTTTTTTTTTTTTTTTTTTTTTTTTTTTTTTTTTTTTTTTTTTTTTTTTAGAGACGGGGTTTCACCTTGTTGACCAGGATGGTCTCAATCTCTTGACCTCGTGATCCACCCGCCTCGGCCTCCCAAAGTGCTGGGATTACAGGCTTGAGCCACCGCGCCTGTCTTATGTGGGTTTGGTATCAGGCTAATGTTGGCCTCACAGAGTGAGTTAGAAAGTAGTTCTTCTATTTTTTTTCCCCACAACTTGAGGAGGTTTTGTTAAACTTTTGAAAATGTTTGGTGAAATTTACCAGTAAAGTCATCTGGTCTTGGGTGTTTGTTTGTTGGGAGGTTTTTGGTTAATAATTTAATTTCTTTACTTGTCATAGGTCTGTTGAGATTTTTCTGCTTCATTTCTTGTCAGTTGGATAATTTGTTTATTTATGGAAAATTTTCCATTTTATCTAGACTAATTTGTTCGCATGCAACTGTTTATAGTATCTCCTTATAATCCCTTTTTATTTCTGTCAGGTTGATAGTAATGTCCTCACTTTCATTTCTGATTCTATTTACACCTATTTTTTCTGTCAGCTTAGCTAAAAGTTTATTTTTTATGTTTTCAAATATTCAGCTTTTGGTTTTTATTAATTCTCTCTGTTGTTTTTCTGTTTTCTATTTCATTTATTTTCCCTAAACTTTATTATTTCCTTTCTTATAGTTTTGAGTTCAGTTTGCTGTTCTTTTCTAGTTCTTCAAATTAGAGAGTTAAGTTATTGATTTGAGATCTTTTAAATTTTTTTAAATATGGCATTTACAGCCTTAAATCTCCCTCTGAGCTCCACCTTCGCAGCATCCCATAGCTTTTGGAATGTTGCATTTTAATTTTAATTCATCTCTAAGTTCTTTCTAAGTTTTATTGTGATTTTGCTTTGACCCACTTTTTATTTTGTAGAATGTGTTGTTTAATTTCTATATATTTGTGAATTTTCTAGTTTCCTTCTGTTATTGATGTCTATCTTTGTTCATTCTACCACGGATGGAAAAACAAAGTTTGTATGATTT